TCGCGGCGTGTGAAGCCATCGTGCCGGAGGGAAGCGGTGTGATCCCGCTAGAGACGCCGCGGGAAACGCTTTGCACCGCTGCTGCCCTTGACGTGGGGCCAGGCCACGCGCCGGCTGCCCGGGGCTCTCGGCACAAGCCTTCCGTTTGGCTTGGTTTTGCCAGAATTTTTTTATTTAACTTTTCCCTCCCTCCCTTGATTTTTATTTTGGGCTGCAGCGCTTACATGCAGAGTGGGTGCCCAGCTCCAGCCAGAGTGCAATTTTATTTTTTGATTTTTTTTCTCTTTTTTATTAACATATGGGCAACGCCGGTGCTGGCTCTTCAGGACTCTGGGTTGGAAAGGGGGGGGAAATCCCATGGAATTTGGGGTTGGGAATTTCGCAACGGCGCCGGGTCAGGAATAGCAACCAGGTCTCCCGGCTCCTATCTGCTGCATCAGTGGCCTTTCTAATAACCGTAATCATCGCCGTCCTCGGGGATGCGTAAATAGTAATCGAGGCGCGACAGCGGCCGTGCGGTTGGATTGCGCCGGCTCTGCCGGCCTTCGGTCTCGGCTGAATCACGCCGCTCCTCCTCGCTGTTTCGACACGTCGCGCCGCCGCGCTTTGACTTTGGCTTGGAGATAGGGAGCCCAAAGGCTCCCTGGCTGGGCCGTGGGCCCTCCTTGGCGCCAGCATCTCGGACTCAATTGGCACTAGGGACAACTGGCTTCTTCCGCTGGGAAAAATCCACCCATGAGGAAACGGCTGCTTGTCCTGGAGCTGGGAAAAGCTCTGGGCACCGGCTGTCCCAGCATATGTCCCCCTAGCACTGCTGCTGCATCCTGTTCATCTCCCACCACCTGGTCGCTTGCTTCATCCTGGCCCTTGAGTGAAACTTTTGGCCTGATCTGGTCCCAGAAGCGCTTGGGATTTGAGGAAGGAGGCAGAAATGGGGTATCCGGGTGCCCTGTCATGCCACATTGAGCGCCGGCCGGAGCATCGCGCTACCCCTGCTCCTCTGGCCTCGCTCCGCAGCCCCCACGTGCTTGCCTCACTCTTTATTTTCTAATTTGTGTTATTTGTTATTATGTTTGGATGGACCCCAGCTGGGGAGGAAAAGGGCATTGCTTCAAGCTGACACCTTGCGCTGGAGCGCGCGCCGCGCCGGGCGCCGCATTGACATGCTTTGTGCAAACAGGAAGCAATAAAATACTTGAACTTCCTGGGGAATTTCCTCCTTTTTTTCTATTTTCTCCTCTCTCCTTGGTCGCTCTTGAGCGCAGCCCGCGCGTGCTGCCGTTCCGCCTTTGCTTGCAAAATCCCCCTAGGGAATAGCAGCAAGCTCTGCCGGGCTCTTTTCCCTCTTTTTTTTACTCCCTCTTTTTCAGTCTTAGTCTCTCTCCTTTGCCCCCTTGTTTCTGCTTTTGGCCCCTTCTCCCTGCAGTGTTGTGAGGGAAGCAGAGCCCGAGCAAACTCGTTTCATGCTCTGGGTCATGCAGAGACCCAGCAGCCCCCCGAGCACCCCCCAGCTCCCCATGGCTTCCTTATCCGTGTGGAAGCGGCGCCGGAGAAGCCACCGCCGGGGCCGCTTCCCAGCGCCGCGGGGCCAGGGCAGCCGCGCTCGGGTTTTCATCACAGCTTAGACACCATAAAAAGGACAAAACGACGTGTTTAATGCGTTGTGCAGTCGGTCGTTTCCTTGCTCACTGGTGGGCTGTAATTTTCTCTATTTTTCTTCAAGTGTTGTAGGGCACTGGCCGGATTTCTCATCCCTTGTAGCTACTTGCAGCCAGGAGCAGCTCTTGAGGGCTCTCCTGTTTGCTCCGATTAGAGGGGGAAAAATGAGGGATGGGGATGAGGCATCCCTGCGTCCTGGGGCTCCGAGTGCCAGTTTAGCTGGTTTAGAGCCTAAAAAAGCCACCAGCGGGACATGAAGGGCCATTAAATTACCCCAGGGTCTCGCTTTCCCGGGATGTGGAGCCGGGGCCGTTGCCCATCTTTATCCTGGCAAGGAGGGTCAGCACTTGGAAGTGGCCTGAAGTGCCCCTATGGCTGATGGGTTTGGGTAGTAGTTGGGTTTTTTGTTTTTTTTTTCCTTCCCCTGCCGCTTCTCCTAAGCGGGTTATAAATAGGCAAATATTTCC